CAAGTTTTTGGATTAATTTGAATAAAGTTAGAAAATCAAAGTAAAAGGTAAGTAAATAAAGTAAACCAATCTTGCAAGATAAGTTGAAATAGTTGGAAACAAGGTCATAAATTCTGTACTTTTGAACAACAGGTTCTAAAAGAAATAAAAGAAAGTTATAAAATCAACATGCTAAATTTATTTCCTTGCAGCAAGATTAAATAAAACCATATTGTAGAACTTTTGCTGGTAAATGTGCCATTAGTACAGTAATAGATGTATAGTACTAACAACGCTAAAATAAATTTTGAACGGGAACCACTAAAAAAAATATTAGGAAATGCATGTGCCATTAGTTTGGTTTAATTAAAAGAGAAGGAGAGGAGAACAGTTCTACTTTTCCAATATTTTTAGAGGGCTTCTATGGGTAACCATTTGGCATAACCTAAGGTCAAAGGGGCTCTGATACCAACTTGTCACGCCCGGAATTTCTATCCAAAATTCCAAACGCTTACATGTGTGTGAACCCTCGTCCAGGAATCAGCCGAGGCACACAATAACAAATTGATAATAGAGTACAATTATTACTCTAATTAATAAGCGAATAAAATGTCATTACAGAGGTAGATAGTTCCTCTCAATCAATAAAGATCTAAGCAGCGGAAAATAAGATAAACGGCGCAGACGACTCCACTCCACAGGCAGCTTGACCAGGGCTACACCTAATCCTCCACACCATCAGCTTCACTGTAGAACTCCTCCTCTGATGAATGATTGCAAGGTGAGTATATGACATACTCAGCAAGCCACGCAGCAAATATGCAAGTGCACAAGGATACCAAAGGATGGCATAGTAGGGTTTCATTTACAAAAGCAGCATTTAGCAAACATTTAAGATTTTAATAAAACAGTTAAGTAATAATTAATCAATATTAATCCAACGCTATACAACATACCCTGTTGCATAGGCCCAACCATTCTGAACAACCATCCCGGCTGCACAGTTCTATCTCCAAACCAGGAATATACCATTCCAAACCAGGAGCTAAACAAATTATTACCAGTTAAAGCATCTTTTATTATGATGAGAGGTGTGAGACTAATCACGAAAAACATTGTTAGACCCGCCCATAACCGCGGGCACGGCTATTCGAATAGTTTTACTCTGATCAGAGGTGTACCACTGTACCCACAAGACACAGCCCCACATCATGTCACCATGTGCCTCAATACCACTACGGTACCTCGGAAAGGAGCTGTGACAATACCCCTCGCACAACACAATCCACTACAGCGCACCTTTCCTGGATCATAATCACCCCCTTATAAACAAGGCATGGACTCCCCAGCGACCCCCGTGGGCTTATCTCCGCCACTTCTCAGTCTGGTGCCCCGCAATGAACCATGCTATACAAAAGGTAAAGCCGTTGCCCACGCTGGCTTGTGGTTGGCACGGTTAATGTTTCACAACAGAAGCTCGCGAACCGGTCCTTAATTGCCATGAGCACGACTCTCAAAACCATGTGCTCACAACCCACCATTATCAAGTTTTAGTTGGCACATAAATTAATTAACCAATCACGATTGACCATCGTGAGCTATCATTAAGCCATCATTAAATAATTAATAGTAAATCATAAGTTATCCCAATAGTGTGCTAATGTTTCTAGGCATGGCTAAGCAATCACATCTAATATCTAGTCGAACCAATATATATATAGCCCAACTAGTCAAGTTAAAATAACCCAAGGTATCAAGGAATAAAGTAATCAATGCAAACAGGCCATAACAAAGGAATAGTTTCACACCACCCAGTGACATTCGAAAATAAATCCACAGTTGAATTAAATAGAGAATTTAAATATAGGATCAACATGCTCAAAGGATTGTATTTATGATCTGTGTGACTTGCCTTGCTGGCCTTGGAACTCTTCAAATTCTTCTCCTGCGAGAACGGACTCTCCGGAAACGTCGGAATCTAAACAGAAAAGAGCAAAAACACCAAAACAGCACATAAACAAGCATGGACAGTATATGTAGATATTTTTAACATGTAGATCTCAATTTTAGAAAAAATTAGAGACTTGAACCAACTAAAACCGAGCTAAGATGAATTAGTTATGAATTTTTAAAGATTAAATCGATTTAAATCACTTTTATGGATTTTAATTGAATTATGACGCAATAATGAATTATTTTTGAAAAGGAAAAAAGAGATTTATTGCGTCAGCGGCTAGGGTTTGCGGTGGACCGGGCGCACGACAGCGGTTCACGGGAACGGACGGCCGAGATCGATCCTATCCAAAACGGACGGCCGAGATCGATCGGTCCACGTCCGGCTCACAGCAGACGGCCACGATGACGTCAGTGGTGACGTCATCGCCGGCGGCGGCAGCGGCTCGGCGGCTTGGCGGCTCGGGCGCGCAAGCTTGCCGGCGAACGACGGTGCGGCGGCGCGAACGGAGAGCACCCACGGGTAGCGGACGGCGCGGCGAACTCACCGGTGACCAAAGAAACGGCGGAGGAGCAGCGGACGGTGACGGCGACGAGGTTGAAGCGGCGGAGACCTTCGGCTTGACGACGGCGACGGTGCTCCGGCGGTCTTCAGCGACGGCGAAGGGGCGGACGAGGACGGCGACGCGACGGCGACCACGAAGGCGACCTCCCCGAGCGACGGCAGCAACTGGAGCGACGGCGGCGCACGGCTGGAGCGGCGGCAACGACGGCGGCGCGAGGTCCCACGGCGCTAGGGCTCTTCCGACGGCGAGAGACGAAGGCGAGGGTGGCGACGGGTAGAGGAGACACCGGGGATCCTTTTAAAGGGGCTAGGAGGCGGTGGCGAAGGCCCACGGCGACCGGCGGCGGGATGGAAAGCTCGGGCTCGGAGAAAGAGAGAGACCGATCCGAATCGACCTCGAATCAAACACTTTCCAAGTGATTTTAGCCGATGATTCCATAAGAGAAAAGGTAGAGAAGATCCCGAAGATTGTTTCCCCTCAATCGATTTCACCGGATCGGGAAAGGAGCGGCCGGATTTGGAAGGAAACGGCGGCGGCGCGGCACTAGGGTTTCGGGCGGCAGCGACGCGAGGAAGACGATCGGTCTGACAGATGGGCCCCACCTGTCAGCGACCGAGCACGCGCGCGGCTGCGGACTGGGCCGTCTTGAGCCGGGGGGAGAGAGAGAGAGGGTTTTGGGCCGACTTTCGGCCCAAAGCCAAAAGAGACTTTTAAAAACCTTTTTCAATTAAAATTATTCATGAAATGCAATTCCATTTATTAAAAATACTTCCTTAGCTCAAATAAATCCCAGAAAAATCTAGGAATTATAGAATTAAGCAAAGTATTTAATGAAATTTTATCTGGCCCCATTTTATATTGGAATTTATTAATTAAAATTAGATCTTCTCTTCTAGGCTTTTAAAATAAATTCTAATAATTCCAATTAAACAACAATTTATATATTTAGGATTTTTAGGGTGTGACAAGACATCGGACGGACGAGGGCAGATTCAAGGTACAAGGGTTGGGTTAGGCAGCCTTCAGTACCTTTGTTTAGGACAGGAAATAACATATACCTTTATTTAGGGGAAAAAGTACGAATTATACTCTCGAACTATCGCGGTCGACCGAATTACCCCCCAAACTCGAAAACCAGACATAGCTCACCCTAAACTTTCAATATTGCACGAATTACCCCCCCCCCCCCCAACCCAATCTAGGACGATTTTGTCTTGCGTGGCGTACACGTGGTACTCCAGTCAGCATTTTCTTCTTTTTTTTTAATGGTGGGGCCCACCTGTCATATATACTCTTTCACCTCCTCCTCCTCCTCCTCCTCCCCCCCCCCCCCCCCCCCCCCTCTCTCTCTCTCGGCGTTCTTGCCTTCTCAGCAAAGCAGCGCGCGGCGGCGACGTGGGACGCGGAGCAGCAGCGTGGCTTTCTCCTCCTCCCCTCTCACTCACTCTCTCTCTCTCTCTCTCGGGCGCGGATGTCGGGCGCGGCTGGGCAAGTCCAGCGTTTGAGCTAGCCAACGTAAGCTCGTGTCAGGGCGGCGTTCGTGTAGAACCACACGCGCCGATGAGTGCGCCGCGCGTTCGCTGCAAGATGGAGTAGTTTCTACACATTTCAGAACAAAGCAAACACGTACAATAAGATGGCCGGCTTGTATACTCATTTAGAAGCTGAAAAAATTGTGAGAAATTTACGTGTTTGGTGTGTTCTACCGTTCGAGATCTGCCGATTCTGTTTTCGCATGTATCATTTGTGGCTGCTTGCTAGACGAAAGCTCTATCTCGTGTCTTTTCTGCATACAATGGAGGGAGGTTCACTGAACTGGCATGCATACCAACACGCGCCACCGCCTAAAAAATCATGGCTATGATCAAACGAGAAAAAACGAAGACCGAGCCGAGGGACACACGACTAGCTACTAATACCTACTGCCCGTGTGTTATGCTCAAGCTGTGAACAGCATTTGACAATCTTCTGCTTAACTGCTTTCTACCTTTTGGTAGCCATCTATTATCGATCACTTGCTTTGCTCGATACAGCTCTGAATGGTTCGGCGAGATCGATGGCAACCATGCCTGCTCCTGCTCCTGCAGCGACATGCTTCGTCTTTGCCGCGTCGGGCGTCGATCAGGTGCAGGGCATTCTCTACGCCGATCATCAAGAACGTGCGGTGCGTCGTCGCTGATCCCCTGAAGCTACTGCTGCGTCCGGGGAACCCACAGCCGCCTCCGCTCGCCCAGCCGCGCCCGCCACCCGCACCCAACGATGCCCGAGAGAGAGAGAGAGAGAGGGGAAGAGGAGAAAGCGATGCAGCCGCCGGCTCCGCATCCCACGCCGCCGCCGCCTCCGCATCCCACGGCGCCGCCCACCGTCCGCCGCCGCGCGCTGCTTTGCTGAGAAGGCGAGAACGCCAAGAGAAAGGGAAGAGAAGGAGGAGGTGAGAGAGTACATGATAGGTGGGCCCCACCATTAAAAAAATAAGAAAATGCTGACTGGAGTGCCACGTGTACGCCACGTAAGATAAAACTGCTCTGGATTGGGTTGAGGGGGGTAATTCGTCCGGTATTGAAAGTTTAGGGTGAGTGATGTCTGTTTTTCGAGTTCAAGGGGGTAATTCGGTCGACCACGATAGTTCAGAGGTGTAATTCGTACTTTTTCATTTGGCATATAATGATGTGGGGATGTATTATAGTATGTATGGTACCCTAAATGGTTCTGGCTTGAACTGCATCTGTCTTTATAACCTAAATGATGTGGGGATGTATTATAGTCAATGACATGTGGGCCACAGGGAGGAAAATACTCGAAAATTCCATCATTCACATGTGGGCCATAGGGAGGCAAGAGGCGCAAGACACCTGGTAGTTGGGTTCTTCTTCCCAGCATTTGCCTCTTATTTCCATATTTTCCTGATGGGTACCAAGATTGATAGGATTTGTCCAAGGGCTTCAATCCCTTGTTCTCCTTGTTTTGTGCATGAGGTGCTTTATTCCCTTTCTGTTTTTGATAAAGCTAATTATTCCTTTTTTTACTTTTTTTTAGAAAGCCAACTGCATCCATATGAGCTTCAGCAGCTAAGACAATGTATGCAAAATAGTGCAAGGATGCACCAGCTAGGAATTCCCGCATTAGTAAAAGTGCTTGGAAATAAAAGAGTGATCCCGCAAAATGATGCTACAGCTAACCATAGAAAGCACACAGATTGTGATCCTGACTACGAACCTGAGCTTGATGAAACCATTGATGGATAATTGTGTGCTACTAACAACGCTAAGGTGCTAGTTCCATCAATCCTGTGATGATGGTCATGTGTCTTCTTTGCTAAGGCAATATAATACAATCCAAGCCTTTTTGATTGATCTATGTTTGCATTTGTGTTCAGGAAGCATGTAGTAGCAAGAAAAGGCATTCTGACATGGCTCCTGGTGGCTTCAAGGCGCGTAAAAAGACAGCGCTTGCAGTTCGGCCAGTGAATGGAGTCCTTACAAGGGGAAGAAAAAGTTTGCTACCAAGTGAAGTCCCTCGTGCTGGCCCAGCTGATGAAAGTGTTGGCAACTTTGACAAGCACACTCATCCACTTCATGCAGGCAAGTTTTTATGACAACTATAAATTGTTACTTACCATCTGTATGTTTGCTCATGTTAAATGATAGCACATTCTGACTATATCACTATTTCTAGGTGATGGCTTGGAGGAACAAAACATCCATGTTGCCAGCAGAGGTGATGGTATAGACCAGGGTCATGGGGGCAATCAGGTGGCCAGTGGAGGTGATGTTGATGGTATAGCTCAGGGTCATGGGGACAATCAGGTGGCCAGCGGAGGTGAGGGTGATGGTTTAGCCCAGGGTCATGGGGAAAATCAGGTGGGCAGCGGGGGTGATGGTATAGCCCAAACTCATGGGGACAACCTGATGGCCTGTGAAGATGACGGTACTGCCCAGCTTGAAGGTGAAGCTGAAATGGATACAGAGAGTGAAGGCATGTTATTTCACCCTAATCCTCTTAGCCATGTTGTTTCAGTTCAATATAGTTTATTGTATTATTAAATGTGAAATCAAGGTTTCTTTCAGCTCACTAGCTATAATTATTTGTACATGTACACCCAGAAGAGGAACCATGGATCAGGGGGAATAATAAAGGAGCAGCTCTGCAGAGGTTGTCCCGATCTCGGCGTGGGAAGCTGCCCGTGGTCATCAAAGAAGGGGACATAAGGCCGCTACAGCCTGTCGTTGCTGCAAAGTTTGCAACTGAATGCAACATTATAGTGAGGAACCATGTGCCTGTGTTTCCCAAATGGAAGGACTACAAGAATCAGTCTGCGATCCGCAGAATGTTTAGGATGAAATTAGCTGTAAGTTCCTATCCAATGCCATTGCAGCTTTAATGCCTACTGATCTATTAATTTATAGACATTCAGAATCATTGTTATTGTAATCCTTATTTACTGCTATCCACCTAAGTACTTCTACAATAGCTGCAACCTTACTATTCTCTTATGTCCCCTTACCAATCTGTTCTTTAATTTGAATAGGCTAGAGGTGCTCCCTTGACATTAACCAATAGGCTAGAGCTGCTTCCTTGCTAATACTCTTGTGTTCTTTGATTTGAATAGGCAAAGTTTGATATCGACATAAGAGCTACTCATGTTAAATTTGCTTGTGTCGAAATGATGAAGAAAGCAGTTCGCCAACATCGCTATCACCTGAAGAGGATTTTCTTTAATCCTTTCCCGCTCCATTTGGTGACAAAAAGTTCTCCTATCAAAAGTACGACTGATAAACAGTGGAGTGAACTTGTCAAATCATGGGCATCTGAAAAAAAATGGTATGTTTTGTGCTAAAAGTCTGCCTCCTATATGCTAACTTAGATGCATATTTAACATGATGTTGTTTATGGTGTAGAGAAACTCTGAACTGAACAAAACCAACCGAAGCAAGGTCAAGTACCATCATACAACTGGCTCACGCAGCTACAAGGTGCATTTGGAAAATTTGGTAAGTTACTGCATCTTGCACATATGTCTTGAGAATTATGCTGCATGGTTTCTATTAAAGATTCCATAAGCACATGTAAGTTGCTACAGAAAGGAAAAAATGTAGGATACAAATTGGGTCTAATGGGATGAGTAGTTTTGCCTAGTTAATGTAATGACATTTTGCTTCTATAGGATCTTTACTGTAATACATATTAGTTAATAGTGACCATTCTACAGGGAGACAAGTACAAAGACCAGGAACTTGATGCAGTGGATATGTTCAAGGAGTGCCACTACAGTAAAAAGAAAGGCTACACACCAGATGTCCAGCTTGCTATTGTAAGTTAACTTTTCACAAATAAAGCCCAACCTTAATTTTTGTTGCTGCGTCTCATGAACCATGTATTTTTTCTTGCACTACTAGGATGAAATGGAAAACAAGCTGTCTGAACATGCAGAAGATGAAGAGGCCCCTTCCATGACCGAGGTAGTTGCTGGTGTTCTTGCTGAGAAGACCAAGAAACCCACATTTCTGCAGACTGTGGGGATTCAGAGCAGAAAGAAAGGCACACTTAAAGAGCAACTAGCTGCAGAGAAGTTGGCAAAGGATGACCTCAAATCACAAGTGCAAGAGTTGGCGAAGAAGCTACAAGAATCTGAGCAAGCAAGGGTGGCGGAACAACAGGATATGGCAAGGAAGCAAGCTGAGACTAATGCAAAGCTTGACCTTCTGTTGAGTAAGATTGGACACCACTAGCCAACTGGGTAAGATGGTCTAGGTCCCTTGGCCACATTGTTGCTTTTTTGTTGAATCATTTCTGCTGCTGTTGCTACTGCTGCTGCTGCTTCGCTATGGTGCTGTAGTGGGCAAAGTGACATTTCTGCTCTTGTTGCTGCTGAGCTAGTTATTAGCTCCTTTTGTTGTGATGAAAACTTTGATGCTGGAGTGGCCAATGCCTTGGACTTGTGCTGTAGTGGGCAAAGTGACATTTCTGCTCTTGCTGCTGCTGAGATAGTTATTAGCTCCTTTTGTTGTGATGAAAACTTTGATGCTGGAGTGGCCAATGCCTTGGACATGTGCTGGAGTGGCTATTAACTACTGTCATTTGCTTGCGGACACGCTTAATTATGTTGTATGAGATGTGACGACACTTATAATTTGGTGATCTGTACCATTTTTCTTATGGCTACATGTGTTAAGTAACGATGATAAGAACTGGTGTTAATCAATGATAATGACAGATGAAATATTTGTATTTTGCTAAATCTAACAGTAGCCTAATTACAGCTGGGCTGAAATCTAGAAGCAGCGCAATTTGAACTGGGCTGAAATCTCGAAGTAGTCCAATTTGAACCGAGCTGTACTACCACTAAAAGGCTGAAAAAACTCGACCAAAAAAAAGGCCTTAGAAAGGCCAACAAAACAATAGATGGGCCAAAACAAAAAAATAAGTTGGGCTATTAATGGGCTGAAAGCTCTTGGAAACCCGAATTGGGCCACATATCAACTAGGCTAAACCCTACATGGCACCAATGACACGTCAGCTTCAACCTTGGCGAACACATGGCACATACGTGGCGAAGCAAATCCGTGACAGAAAATTATCCTACGTGGCAGCCATCCATGACGGATAATTCCGTCACAGCTCACCGGGCTCAGCCCGGCCCAGAGTGAGCTGATTGGTCCAACTGTATGAGTTAGACCCAATACCGTTTCTGGCCATGGGCATCACAGACGGTATCAGAGCCGACTCTTGCAACCCTTGTAGCTATACATGTATATGTGCACGTACATGGGCATACGGTGTATATGGGATGATCCCGAAGTGATTGTATGGCATGATGGATGTGCGCCGAAATCGTACATATATACGTGATGCTAACAGAGGACCATTCTTGGTCAGTTTGAAAAGCCCAGGTATAGATGGAGTTCGACGGGGACGTCGAATCTTCGAGTGTGGGTGTATGTAGCGCCCCGCAATAATTAGAGAAAAAGAGAAAGAAGAGAGAGAGAGAGAGAAAAAAAAAGAAAAAGAGCAAAGCTAGATAGCAGCCCAGCCCATGCAGCCCAGTAGCTAGCCGGCCCAATAGCAAAAACCAGCCCAAGCATGCAAGCAGCAGTGCAGCTAGAAGTGCAGAGAGAGAGAGAGAGAGAGAGCGCAAAGCAGTAGCAGCGGTACTGTAGCTAGAACAAACCCACCTCGCCAATTCAACCTGAGGGAGACCAGCTTAAATAGGAAGGCAGCCCAGTCACTATTCCTGAATTTTTGCGTTAAAGCGAGGACGAAAAATACAGGGAGTTGCAGTGTTAGGTGTGGTCCAACTGTATGAGATGGACCCAATACCATTTTTAGGCTCTGAGCATCATAGCAACTAACCACTACTGCAAAAAAACAAAATATAGAGAGTTATATAGTTGGAGAAGTGGAGGTATAAAGGGGTTGTAATTGGTTGAAAAATGGAGGTAGGTCCCTCCGTCCCAGAATATAGAGAGTTTTATAGTTAACGGAATATAGAGTTTTATAGTTTGAGAATTGGAGGTATGAAGGGTTGTGATTGGTTGAGAAATGGAGGTAGGTCCCTCCGTCCTAGAATATAGAGAGTTTTATAGTTGGAGATCTGGAGCTATGAAGTAGTTATGATTGGTCAAGAAGTGGAGGTAGGTGGGAAAAGTAAATTCTACTGCACGAAAAGCGGAATATAGAGAGTTATATAGTTGGAGAAGTGGAGGTATGAAGGGGTCGTGATTGGTTGAGAGGTGGAGGTAGGTCTCTCCGTCATAGAATATAGAGAGTTTTATATTTGGAGAAGTGGAGGTATGAAGGGGTTGTGAATGGTTGAGAAGTAAAGGTAGGTGGGAAAAGTGAATTTTAGAGGGTTGTGATTGGTTGGTGGAGAAGTTATATTTTCGGACAAATCCTAAGTGCTAAAAGTTATTATATTTTGGGACGGAGGGAGTATAGAGCTTGTGATTAGTTAAGCACTCTGGTACTCCCTCCGTCCCAGAACCAGAATATAGAAAGTTTTATACACTGGTGGAGAAACCATCTTTCGTCGGTCGGGCTAATTCCACAATAGTCCCGGTTGCAACAAAAACCGGGACTAAAGATGATCTTTAGTCCCGGTTAAAAAGGGTAACGGGCATATTTGATCTTTAGTCCCGGTTGGTAACACCAACCGGGACTAAAGATCATCTATAGTCCCGGTTCAAATGCTGCCAGGGCCTGTCAGGCCCCCCCCGGGATCTTTAGTCCCGGTTAATAACACCAACCGGGACTAAAGATCGTAACTTTAGTCCCGGTTACCAACCGGGACTAAAGATCCCGGCGATCTTTAGCCCCGGTTCATAACACCAACCGGGACAAAAGTCCCACCCCTATATATATGTCTTCTTCCTCCTCCAGCTCGAGGAAGCTTCAAAATTTCTTCAAAAAAGAGGGGAGGTCATGCCAAAATTTCTAGTGAATTTAGTTTGGTAATTATATACAAATCGGAGGTGCCTAAAAGGTTAGCAACTTCATCCTCCAATGTTTTTTTTTCATATTACATTTGGAGCTATGTTTTGCACACTTTTTTGTCTCCAAAATTTTGTTGTTAGTTGATGAGAGAGAAAATTTGTGTGGAGAAGAAAGAATATATAGAAATTTAGTTTATTTGCTAAAGAAGGTTTTATAAAATAGTTGAGAAGGAAAATATAGTGAAAGTTAATCTTGAATAATATAAAACAAAGTAAAATGAAAAATTAAAATAAGTACAACACATTAATATTAGTTTAAAACTTTATAAATAGTAAATATATAATTATTCGGTGTAATATTTCATAATATTTGTATGAATAATGATATGTCATTATTGTGTGACTGTTGAAAGAGTTTGTAATTATTTTATAATTATTGTATGACTGTCATTATTGTACGAATAATTATGTGTGTACGATTTTTTTTCATGTCATGTAGATGGATCGGCAATGGATGTACGCTGACCGGCGGTCCAAAGAGTTTATTGACGGCGTGCATTATTTTTTGAGAGTGGCCGAAGCTAATAGGTAAAAGGGTTTTATTTGTTGTCCATGCAATAAGTGTAAGAATCAGAAGGAGTATTCTGTATCCAGGACTATTCATTTCCACTTGTTTGAGTCAGGGTTCATGCCAAGCTATAATTGTTGGACATCCCACGGAGAGCAAGGTGTTGAAATGGAAGAAGATGAAGTGGAAGACGACAATATTCCGGACTTTGCTCAGTACGCTGGATTTGAAGGAAATCAAACGGGCGAGGAGGAAAGGGATGCTGATGGTAACAACGTTGCGGATGATCTTGGTCAGATGTTGCAGGACGCCAAGGAGGATTGAGAAAGTGAAAAGGGGGCCCATAAATTGGACAAGATGTTAGAGGACCACAGAATGTCGTTGTACCCAGGTTGCGAGTAGGGGCACAAAAAGTTGGATACCACTCTGGAGTTCTTGCAATGGAAGGCAAAAAATGGTGTCAGTGACAAGACATTTGGCGATTTATTGAAACTCGTCAAGAGCATTCTTCCGGAGGGAAACAAGTTGCCCGAGACAACGTACGAGGCTAAGAAGATAGTCTGCCCTCTAGGACTGGAAGTTCAGAAGATTCACGCATGTCCGAATGATTGTATCCTATATCGCGGTGAGGAGTACGAAAACCTAGAAGCATGCCCTGTTTGCAAAGCACTACGATACAAGATTAGACGAGATGATCCAGGAGAAGTTGACAGGCAACTAACGAAGAAGAGAATTCCTGCTAAGGTGATGTGGTATTTCTCTATAATACCACGGCTAAGGTGTTTGTTCAGGAACAAGGGGAATGCTAGAATGATGCGATGGCACGCTGAAGAGCGTCAACAGGACGGGATGCTGAGACACCCCGCCGATGGTTCGTAGTGGCGAAACATCGATAGAAAATTTAAAGACTTTGGAAAGGACGCACGAAACATATGGTTTGGTTTAAGTACGGATGGCATGAATCCTTTTGGAGAGATGAGCAGCGGCCATAGCACTTGGCCCGTTACGATGTGTATCTACAACCTCCCCCCATGGCTATGCATGAAGAGGAAGTACATAATGATGCCGATTATAATTCAAGGCCCCAAGCAACCTGGTAACGACATCAATGTGTACCTAAGACCATTGGTCGAAGATCTTAAACTGTTGTGGAAGAAGGAAGGTGTCCCCATGTGGGATGAGGACAAACAGGAGGAGTTTAACCTACGAGCGCTGCTGTTCGTAACCATCAACGATTGGCCTGTACTTAGCAACCTATCCGGGCAGTCTAACAAGGGGTACAAGGCTTGCACTCACTGTATGGATGAAATAGAAAGTACGTATCTTAAGCACTGTAGGAAGGTTGTGTACACGGGTCATCGTCGATTTCTTGCAGCAAATCACCCGATACGGAAGAAAGGCAAGCACTTTGAACATAAGGCGGACCACCGTATGAAGCCTAAACATCGCAGCGGGAAAACAGTGTTTGCTATGGTTAAAGATCTTAAAATAGTGTTTGGAAAGGGGCCTAGCAGCCAGCCTATAGAGAGCGAAGATGGTCACGCGGCGATGTGGAAAAAGAACTCTATATTTGGGAGTTACCCTATTGGGAATTCTTGGATGTCCGCCACGCAATCGACGTGATGCACCTCACTAAGAATCTTTGCGTAAACCTTCTTGGCTTCCTAGGTGTATATGGAAAGTCAAAAGATACACTGGAAGCACGTAATGATCTGAAGCATATGGAACAACG